CACATTGGAAATGACATAGTTTGCATCATCTTCATGGAAGCAACAAGTACCAAGTTTGTACCTGACTGCATTAAATCAAACTTTCTGCATACTTTTATTATTGTTCAAGTGGATGTAGAAAACAATCCAGACAGTTACACAGTGAGTGGCATTGTGCTCTATTCCGCAAGTTGCTTTGCCCCTTTAATATACAGGACTGAGTGTCACTTGAATCATATGTATACACTTGTGCTTATTCTGTTACAGGTATCAGTGGTGTCAAGGAGCGGTGTGTTACCATATGGCCCACCTCTTTATGACAAGTATATATTTGATAAGGTATTCTTACTTTTTTAATTAATTTCTAATATATTTCTCAATATTTAGACCACTCCTGTTAAGTAATGACCCTTGCAGGTTGTTGGGAAAATGTGAGTAAAGTTTGGTAATCAAGACTCAAAAGGAAGTCAGTGACAGCTTTTCAAGTCTTCTCATAACCCTTTAACTCCCAAGATCTGATTTTTAATTCTCCCTTCTAGCTGCTACACATTTCCATGTAATTGAATTGTGAGAATTTGGTGTTAGATCATGACTACTAATTTCTACCTTATAAGTTTGAGTATTCTCATTACATGGTGGCTGGATGATGTGTGGATGTTATAGGGAGAAGTTACATGTTAATCACTTATAGAATTTAAAGGGTTAACTACCCAAAATACTTTTTTCCATTGGTAAACCAGTGGTCTATTGGTTTAAAAGTAACCACTGGTATACCTTTCTAACAAATGATAGATTTTTGACAAATCAGAGTCCACGTGATATCTTTATCCTACAGTTATATAAAGTGTTCAAATTTATTTGAATTGCAAAAAAAAGGTCTCTCATTAACTAATGAAAGGGAATTAGCAGGCTTTATCCAGCCTTCAAAGTCAACATGAAAATTCTTGTGAAGTCTCTATAAATCTTCTTAAAGCAGTAGGTTAAAGAATTTGTTGAAGAGCAATAACTCTTTGGTTATTAGTTCCATAATTCTCATCACCTCTATTGACAATAATGTGCCACTCAAGTGAGGAGAACATTTATATTGATCACCTTTAAAGTTTGAGAGGTCAAGAGCTGTGCATGCAAATGTATTTTAACAAGACTGATAGACTTCTGACAACATTTCCACTTCAGAAAAGTTATGTGGGTCATTTGATTGTGCTTTTCCTTTTGACCATTGTTGGATTGCAGGGAGATGAGTTTAGAGTATGGATCCTTAAAAAGTTATTTCAAGGAGAACAAGCATGTCACAGGTCACCCAGCTTTGCTAGGTTACATGTGAGTGCAACACTATGCTTAAAGTTCCTAATGTTGGTGTAATGTTATTTGATGGATTTAAAGCAACAGGCCTTAAAGACGAGAAATAGTCTGGTTACCAACTTTTAATGGGAGAATTTGACAAATGATGTATTCAGTAATTACACTTGCATTCTCTCACAAGTCTTGGAAATTCTACCCTATGTATATAAGTATAACAAAACTTGAAGGGAATCTGGAAGCCATTCATGTGAATAAAAACTTCAGATAAGAATGGATGAGAGGGGATCACCTTTCCTTGCAGGGCTTCTTCTTTCTTTTTTTTTTGGAGTGTGTGGGGTGGAGGTTTCATCTCCTCTCTAGATGTCAGGGCAAGGTTGTTCAATGCTGGGTTAAGACAACCTAGTAGAAGTGTTAAATCTGATTTCAGATCTGAAAGCTTTAAAAGAAAATTCAATTCAATTCATTTGTTGAGATTATGATTACTGGATTTTCTACGAAGAATAGAGAAAATTATCCTTAAAGGCTTTTAAACAAAGGAATAAAGAAACCCAGATTAAAATGTAACCTTGGATTAGGGCTAATCTGCATTTGAACAACTGGCCTCAGGTCATTTCTTTCTTGTTGCTTGGTCATGTTGTGCTTGCACATCAAGTTGCAGCACTTGGACATCTTATGCACCTTGCCCACAATACTCTACCATTGATTAGTTTATGGAGATTATCAGCCTAGCATCAATCAAGTTGGTGTTGTTGTCCTTACAGGCGCGGACCAGAGCACTCATCATGGGAGAACTACTGAAGTCTGTCAGAAATTCACAATCTCAAACCTCAGCTATACCTAGGGCATCACCTGATCAGTACATGACTGTGGCACAGGTGTCCAGGGATTTCAGTTCAGTTTGCTCTGTCACGCAAGATGGAGGGGACCTTGTGGTATTCCTAATAGGTAATGAATGTGTAGTAGGAGGTGGGGTGTGTAGGGGGTGTAGAGGAAACAGGGGGAGGGGTATTTTTGACAATTTTGAATGGGTTGAGCATCATGGATCTTTGTACTCTCAACCTTTTTCAAACCAAAGTATTTGGTTTCTCCACCCAATTTCAGGCAGAATTTATGTTTCTTATGGTAAAGACATTCCCAGTCCTACACCAAGCCTTATGCCTTTAGTCTGCCCTCTCTTCCCAGGTTGGGATTATCAGGGTAACAAAATTAAAATCTCCTCTGCTTAAGTATCTTTTAACCCTTTAACTCCCAAGATCTCATTAGTAATTCTCCTTACTGTCTGTCATACAGTTATTGTGATGTTAGTTTGGAGAATTTGGTATTGGATCAACTTATAATCCCCTTACTGATATTTTCTTATATTCTCATCACTTGTCTGTTTGATATTGTATTGACATTGTGAGGAGAAATTCTGTCTTGGTCACTTATGGGAGTTAAAGGGTTAAGTTAAAGTGGCACTTCAAGCTTGATTTTGTTTTAATCATCATTTATTTGATGAGTTTTCTTGTATTCCAAGCATTTTCTAATCCCATAGACCCTAATATCAGAGTATTCTCCATACTGTTCTTTATACATTTCCTAAAGTGCTCACAAGGAGAATTTGTGTCACAATCAAGAGATTCTTTATTTGGTGATCATTTCCTTTATTCTCATGACCTTAATGTGTGATTCGTGGATGATATTGTAAGGAGATATTAGACGTTAGGGGTCAAACGGTTTAGTTATGAACTTTGTAATAAATTTATTGCTTCTCAACAGAAGAGGCAGACAAGAAAAGTTACATTGGTGTGAAGTCAATTATGTCAGCTAAGAGCAAGTGAGTCAGGAGTGAGCATCGCTTCCCTTGCCTAGAACAAGTCTTGAATGAGTTAGAGACTTCCCCTTTCCATGCAGTTTATTTCACTCTAGGTTTCTCGCAGTTCAAAGCTCATAGTTAAGGGTGAATAAGAAACGGCTGGAAGCAAGGGAAAAGCCGGAAATGAGGGACAAGAAGAATTGAGAGTTTTTTAAATTTTTCTCGCAATATAATGTCCGTTGTGCTCAGGTGTAAGTTAAGTCTTCATGATGGAGCAACCTTCAATTTCGTTTCGAAAGTAATCCATGATTGCTTTGGTTTTGCTTTTCTTTGCTCTGTGATTGGTTCAAAAACTCGCGCCACTCTCTCAACCATTACTTTGGTTTTGCTTTTCTTTGCTCTGTGATTGGTCCAAAAACTCGCGCCACTCTCTCAACCATTACTTTGGTTTTGCTTTTCTTTGCTCTGTGATTGGTCCAAAAACTCGCGCCACTCTCTCAACCATTACTTTGGTTTTGCTTTTCTTTGCTCTGTGATTGGTCCAAAAACTCGCGCCACTCTCTCAACCATTACTCTGATTTTGGTTTTTCGAAACTCAACTGAAAATTGCTCTAGTCTATTTCAATTGCAAATGAAACCGCTTGTTATCTTTTTTGCCTCCAGAGTTTTTCTAAAGATGTTTTCACAAGAGCTCGGTCATATTTATGCTCATCTGCCAGTGGGCAGGGCAGGCTCGTTTACGGCGCCACCTGAACTGAGGCGCACGACCTCCTCCAAGACCCGCTACTCAGGATTGCGTAGCGGGAAGATGAACCTGGAGAAATTGCGACGCAGTCGAAGCGAAAGCGACAGCAGCCATGACGAGGGAGTCACCCTAGAATCAGTGACAGATCTTCAAAGCAGAAAAGATCCTGAGCGTTCGATGGCTTCGTCTAAAATGCAGTGCAGTGCAGAGGTACAATGATACTGCTGGCCTACATTAAACCGTTGATAAAGTGTGGAAATGAATAAGTATCAGCAGAGCTTTTGAATGGATTGTGTTTTTTTCCTCTTCTACAGGTTATCGTCGTGAAGCAGTTTGAAAGTGGCGTATTTGAAGCCCTGCTGGAGTTTCTTCATGTGGGATCATGTGACCTAAGACCCAGTCTCCTGCCAGGCTTGTTTGCAGCTGCGCAATATTATCAGGTGGAGGAATTACGTCAAGTCTGCGTCGAGAGCATGAAGCAAAGAGAAGTATCACCAAGCTGCAGTGTGAGTTCTTTGTCTCAAATTAGGAAGTTATGCCCACAGGTGACCAGGCAGGGCGTGAAATTAATTTTTTTTTCTGATAGCCACTTGGCTCCTAAATTCTTCAAAGTGGTAGCCAATTCAAAAAAAGTTGGTTGCCATTTTCAAAGACAAACAAAACCTTTTTTTTAAGCTGTCAACGTTTAAGATAGACCTTCCAAAATTAATTTAGGGAAAAGATCTCTAACGTTCTACAAAGTGGACACTAGGATGGATGATATACAACCTTCAAGCTCACCTAAATCCAAGATGGCGTCTAGTTATCGATTGAGATACTTGATCTGAGTTTTGGAAACAAACTTAACGAGGAAGTTTGCCGCGGATTTATCTTTACAAATCTTTTTGATTCACTATATCTCTCGGTGAGGTTGTGATGAAACATTCTAGTCGCCAATTTGGCGACTAATTTTCAAGGTTTGGTCGCCAAAGGGAAAAATTTAGTCGCATTGGCGCCTGTATTAGGCGCAATTTCACGCCCTGCCAGGGAGACGTAATACACCCTCACGAGTGACCAGAATCTAATTTCTCTTTACACTGATTCTACGCAATCAAACATGAAGATGATGAGAATAAAGGACGTGATGCCCAATCAAAGAAGCTTTGATTGATGACATATTTTAATTAAAAAATTTCCAGATTAAAAATTCTCTGAGTGAGAGCATTTGAGAGTATTGTTATCTAGAATGCTAACGGAAAAAATTGTGTGTTCTAATTTGTTTTTTAAAGGTGTAATGAATTTCGTTTTCCAGGAGCATTCACTGACGGATTTGGTGTCGAACAACCTTACTAGTCCTACAGTAGGGAGAAATGTACAGACGGAATGTGTCAGTGATACACACTGCTAGAAATCTTTCCGAAAAACAGAGGATGATAAATATAAAGAAAAGTCGTGAGGTTTAGATTCCAAGAGTTGAATGGTTGAATTTTATCCGTCTTCAGTCGACTTTTGTAGCGTGGTAGTAGCGTGGTAGAGATTAGAACGAGCCAGCTCCAGGGGACGACGGGAACGTAAAAGTTAAACGAGGACTTCCCTTGTTCCTCTTCCTATCTGTCCCCGCGCGGATTCCTGTAGAGACAACAGACTGGGACGAGTCAGCTTCAATTTCATCTGCATTTTAAGTTAGGGTGAACTTTTGTTGATTTTGAAGAACCAGTCGTGGTTTGTATTCGATGAAGATTATCATTAGTGGATGTGTATATTGTTGTAGTCAAGGTAATGGCATACCTTTAACTTCGTCAGCCTACAGCCAATCATATTTTAGCCATGTAATTTAGTATTATCAACTGTGTTGATAACATTAATTGGCCACCACCGTAAAGAGTTTTAAAGCTGACGTTTCGAGCGTTAGACCTTCGCCAATCGCTCTGACGAAGGGCTAACGCTCGAAACATCAGTCTTTAAACTCTTTACGGTGGCCAATTTACGTTAGCAACTCAGTTGATAATACTAAATTACCCTGTTATACTCTCCCACCGACGCAGCACAACAGTTTCCTCAGAAACTTACCCACGTTTTAGCCATGACCTGGTCCTTCTATCTGTTCATCACAGACAGACACGCTGGCCATACATTTGCCGGAAACCATTTTATTCCACAGTCATCGCAGTAGAATAATTACATTTATGGCAACGGGAGACGTTTTGGAAAAAGAGAATAAAATCATCACTTGTCTTGTTTATAGTCATGGGCCATTTTAAGTACTCACCGAGGACAATTGAACATTTGCTTCGTAAGACGAAAAAGAAAAGTTGTTATTCTTAGGTATAAGTCGTTGTGCAACATTTACTGAGGAGTGGAAAAACGAATATTTTCCCCACGGGATTAAAATCTTCCAAGACAGAGGAGCATGGAGTGATGTTCTGCCTTGGCCAAAAGACTTGGATTTTAGAACATTTTAGGACAAAATTCTTAGAGCCTTAATGTGGTTTTATGGAATATAATGTGTGCAAAGTCTTATAAGCCTGTAGAAATTACTTCTAACTTGCGCGAGCACTACGTTCGCAAAGTAGTTTCTTCCACGTAAGTACTCGTAGTTTGTACAATTTATTGAGAGGAAATATGTATAAAGACCACTTTATATTTATTACAAAAATGTGGCTAAATTTGCATATATATATATGTAATATATTACAAAAAATCAAATCACAGAGTTTTACCAGTTTTTTTTACCCTTTATTATGCGTGCTTTGAAAGTCCTTTTGAGATTGCATCGAGTGCTCAAAACAACGCAAACTATGCCTTTCACATACTGGTCACACGATTCACCCAATGAGCCTTTCTTTTGAACGCCGTTTCCATTGAAAATGCTGAATTTAAAGTTGACAGTCATAGACTGATAGTCGAATATCGAAAATATATTTGACATTCCCTTTAGATTATAGTATATACGCATATAGTGATTATAAACTGTTTATAACCTCTTGATATACGCTAGACTACAGTTAGTTCCTCTTTTTGGGGAAAGTCCGTGGCGCAAGTTAAAAAAAACTCGGCGAAAGAAAAGTTGATTGATAATGTCGCAACGCCCCGCGAAACTAAGGGAGTGGGTCGTGCGAATGACTTCGCCGGAAAGAGCCAATGCTCGAAGGCTATACATACGCAGTAGCAGTGTTGTAGTAGTACTGGGAATAATCGATTCGTCACACGATTCACCCAATGAGCCTTTCTTTTGAACGCCGTTTCCATTGAAAATGCTGAATTTAAGGTTGACAGTCATAGACTGATAGTCGAATATCGAAAATATATTTGACATTCCCTTTAGATTATAGTATATACGCTATATAGTGATTATAAACTGTTTATAACCTCTTGATATACGCTAGACTACAGTTAGTTCCTCTTTTTGGGGAAAGTCCGTGGCGCAAGTTAAAAAAAACTCGGCGAAAGAAAAGTTGATTGATAATGTCGCAACGCCCCGCGAAACTAAGGGAGTGGGTCGTGCGAATGACTTCGCCGGAAAGAGCCAATGCTCGAAGGCTATACATACGCAGTAGCAGTGTTGTGGTAGTACTGGGAATAATGGGGGAAATGCGAAGCGTAGGCCTCTCGCAAGTTGTATCACAAGAATTGCAGCTCCGAAGACAACATGAAAATTCATGCGAGTACGTACGTCTCCTTACCTTCTCGAAACCTTTTAGAGGTAGCCTGGGATCGAAGTTGAATCGTTGATGAAGTTCTGATGCATTCTGGGAGTAGCTTTTAATCTTGAAACGAAACTTGCAAGAAATAATACGTCACGATATGTTAGATCTTTTCACTATATTTTCTAAAGGAGGCATCGTTCTTTGGTGTTTTCAAGGAACATGCCAATCCTTTACACTTCCAGTGAATGAACTCATTCGCAGTGTTATTTTACAGGTGAGTCTTTAACCAGGAATTTTGCCTTTTCACCGGCTTGTTGATTTCCTATAATGGTGTACGTAGCTTTAAGTTGATGCTCTACGAAACGGGAAATATATTTTACCGCTCACTTAGCAGACGGTTCAAATGATTTTCGTAGATATCTGACCACGGTATCAAGTCAGAAATATTTTTGGATGCTTCATGGCCGGGTGTTATTTGAAAGGGAAAGACAAATTTGTATTTTTGATCTTATTTAGGAACGTGGAGGGAGCAATTCATTCACCCACGGCTCTCTAACGCTGAAATATAAACTCGACAATGAGTTTGAATTGGTGTTTGTTGTAAGTAGATGTATGATTCGTAAATTTAAAACTATTTTCCTTTGTTTTTTAGTTTGTTTAAATTAATTTGAATTAACTTTGAAATTTATTGTCTTTGTTTTCTTTTTTTTTAATACTTGGCTGATCTGAGTGATTTTTCGGCGAAGGTTTTTGACCAGCCCAGCCTCATTTTACATCTTGAACCTAAGTTAATGCCATAGTCTATTTTCATGCTCTTTATGTGGTTGAAAGTAAAAAGTTTTGGGGTTGAAGTCCAGTTAGTCTGAAATCTTACAGTGTGAGTAAGCATCATGAACACAAACCAGAGTTGTTAAGCAGGAATTTCCTTTTATAATTATGATAAGCTGAATTATACTCCTGGATGATGTCACCATTAAAAACATTTTGCTTTTTTTGATCACATAAAACAAATATATTCTATGTTGCCATGGGTCTGTACAGTAATAGATATCAGAAGACCTCAAAATGTGGTAAGAAATTATCAGTGATGCACTCACCGGTGTCTCATGTGCCCCTTTTTTGTTCTTACCATATTTCAAAGTCATCTGTGATCTATTACTAAACAGAGGCATAGCAACTTAAAATCTATTTGTGAAGTAGAAGGGTAAATTTTTTTTTTTAGTTCTTCTTTTGTTCAATTTTTGTGACGAGGAAAGGGGCTTAGTTTAGGTGAGCAACATTGAAAGTCAAAACTGCTGCAAGATGTAATTTCTGACAGTTGAGTGACATGGGAATGAATTAGTGGAAGAGGTTCATGTGGCATCATGGAAGTTTTGGATTATTTAGGTGTTTTGTGGGAAAATTAAGTCATTCTAGGTCGGTCAGTCTTATGTTAGACTACTTTCTTTTTTTTCATATTGATGTAATTTTTGTTTCCAAATCCCTGTAAAATATCACCACATTCATTGAGCTTTCTTTGTGATTAGCATTGTAACCAGGTTAGTTTACCCATTCCTCAGGGTATTGTACTGCTGCATTAGATGAGGAATACGTTAGCCTCTTGTAAAGAGTGGCTTTTTAGTGGTTTTTTGTATTTGGCTTAGCACAGGTTCTTTTTGTAGAACCCTTAGTTTTCAGTGTACACACGTTAAGGTCACATTAGGATGCATATACTACAAGACTGGCTGACTCATCCTAATTAAAATTTCACATTGAATAACTCATCTGAGTGTCGTCAGAATTGATCATTTCTGTATGTGGGAAGCCACTTTGTAAGAGGTCTTTGGGACCTCATTGTTCCCCTACATGACCTGTAATTAGTTGTAATGAAATGAGAGTCTCACATGAGATGAGTCAGCTTCTCATATCTTTACCGGAAAACTATAATGTAACAGGAAAAATAGTATGTAGATTTTTACTCATGACTAATTTCAATCCATCTCCTCTATCGTCAGGTTGCGTTTCAGAAGACGTTACAGCTGTCATATGTGGACAAACTACTAAATGACATCCAGCTAGAGTTTAGGGATAAATACAAAGATGATCTTGAGGCAGGAATTATGAGGAATTATGAGTTCAATGAAGATTTCAACAGATTGCTCAAAGAAGCAGAATTAAGAAGCAAGTTAGAAGCGCAAGCCCCTGCAAAAATGAGAACCTTTGAAGAATCAAAGAAGTCACAGAAGACGGTGGCTTCACTCAAGATTGACAAGAATGAGAAGAATAAAGAAAGTGGTAAATCTGGAAAGAAAGGTGGAGCTAAGAACAAAAAGGCAGAGGTCATGGAAGAAGGTAAGAGCATGTTTCATTCACTACTGTATTTTTGCTATTATGATAACATAACTTTCTGAGTTTAAGCAAATGTGAGTATGTGAAAGTCATATATTTGAACTGTGGATAAAGACATGAATATGAAAGAGATCTTCGCAGTAATGAACACTACTTGAGCTGTAGTGAAAATAAGGCCTGAAAAAAAATTCCGTACAGGCCTGAATTTTTTTTCAGGTCTCATTTTCACTACTGCTCTAGTAGTGTTCATTACTGCAAAGATCTCTTTCATATTCACGTCTTTATCCACAGTTCAAATATATGACTTTCATATACTCACATTTGCTCTTTCTTTCTTTGCTCTCCCTGATAAAGAAAGAATCTCAGAGGGTCCCTTACATAGATCAACAAATCTCCCAGGTAAACAAGACCTTTTGAAGAAATTCAACAGAAGTGATCAACATGTATCTTCTCCATATGATATCCATATGTTATTTAGCAAAGACCTTAACAGTATGTATCACTAAACTTAAATGATAGTCTTTTGAATAGTTTTTGCTAACAGTGTTGTAAATTAATTCAAACAGTTGATTCAAAGCCATCTAATGGAAAGACACCCTCAGCTGAAGGCAAAAATGATACCACAAATGAGGAAATGATCAGATTAAATCGGGAAAAATTCTTTAAGAAGATGACAAAGGGTCCAACAATCAGGTTTGAACCTTATTTCTGACTGTAAATATATGCAAATCATATATGTGACCTGCAGTTTAAGAAGAAGATTTGTGGTGTACTGTGAAGATTGCTTTCAAATTTGAACCTTCTTTCTGTTGATTTGCATTAGCACAAACCATTTAACCCTTTGTACCATAGCTAACAGCATTCAGATTCTCTATAATGTTCTCTCTCCATTTCCTATGGTACTGACAAGGAAAACTTGTTTATCAATCAAGAGCCTCTTAAGTCAGTGTTTATTTCCTTTATTCTTGTACCCTTTAATTTATGATTAAAGGGTGATATTTTGCAGAAAAATTAGATGCTAGTCACTCTGAGGGGTTAAAGGATTGATGGTTTTATAAACAGACTTTGACACTTTTGGTTCCAAAATCTGTAGTTTCCTGTACAGTACATCCAATCAAATCAGTTAACAAGAGAGCGATATTAGAGCTACCCCATATTGTATGGCTAAAAAATTTCGCACAATACAATTTCC